ATTGTTCCGCCCTTTGCGTACCTTCGTACAGACGTACTTCGACGACATATTCGTCCATAGCCGAGCCGAGGGAGGCAAGACGGCCATGGATGTGCATCTAGGACACCTCCGTCGAGTGTTGGACGTAATGCGAGCGAACAAGCTCTACGCCAACATCGACAAGTGCGTTTTCGCGTCACCAGAGATTAAAGTTCTCGGTTGCTTCGTAAGCAACGTGGGCGTTCGGGCTGACCCAGACAAGGTCAAGGCCATAGCAGCATGGCCGACGCCCCGATCCCAGAAGGATCTTCGAAAGTGGTTGGGCTTGGCCAACTACCTTCACAAGTACAGTGCAGGGTACGCGGGCTTCGCTAAGCCCTTGTCGAGCCTCCTTCAGAAGGACGTCGACTGGCGCTGGGAGCAAGAGCACCAGGATGCTTTTGACAGCATCAAGGCCAGTCTCCAAGAGGCCCCTGTCCTGGCCCTGCCGGACGAGACGAAGCCGTTTAGCGTCGTCTGCGATGCCTCCGATTACGCCATCGGATGTGCATTGCTGCAGGCCGACACGGCTGGACAAGAACGAGTCATCTCGTTCCAGTCCAGGCAGCTCAAAGCCGCCGAGCGGAACTACCCTGTCCATGACAAGGAGCTCCTGGCAATGAAATATGCCCTTGTGAAGTTCCGTGCTCACCTTCTGGGCTCTAGGCCCTTTGTGATCTACACAGACCACGCGTCCTTGAGGACGGCGACTAACTCGCCTCACCTCTCCCAAAGGATGGCGAGGTGGCTGTCCTTCTTCGCAGAATACAACTTCCGCGTCGAATACAAGCCGGGCAAGCTCAACGTGCTTGCGGACGCCCTCTCTCGGCGTCCCGACTATGAGTTGGCCCACATCACGCGGGTGACAACGGATCTATATGAGCGGATACGCATGGCGTATCGGGGCGATGAGGCTGTCGCGCCTATCGTCAAGTTCCTTAAGGCCGGAACGAGCGCGAAGTTCGACTGGCTCTCGTCGCGACAGCGCTCACGGCTCCACCGATATGAGTTGAAGGAGGGCCTCCTCTACTATCGGGTGGAGCCCACTGATCCTCCACGGGTGGTCGTACCCAACGACGAGGATCTGAAGTTCGACATCCTCGCGGAGGCGCATGAATCGCCCTCCAGCGGCCACTTGGGCCGCGAGAAGACCTTTCTGTCGGTCTCTCAGTCCTTCTGGTGGACCCACATGTACAAGTGGGTCGCCCGGTACGTCAAGACATGTGAAACATGTCAGCGGGTCAAACCCGCAGGCACTCTTCGGCTCCACTACAGAGCCTGCCCGTACGGGTGGGTTGTTGAAAGTCGATGAGTCTTGACTTCATCTTTGGGCTTCCCGCCGACGGACACGGCAACACCGGAATTTTGGTGTTCGTGTGTCGGCTGAGCAAGATGGT